ATAATTAAAAATAAACACCATCAAATACAGGTTTCTCATGACACGTAGGCCTGCMCTGACATTCCAGCACACCGCCTCGTGCTGGGATGTTCTCCCTCTCTGTGGAGTTGGAAGCAGGTTGTGACCCGTCTCCCACACCCCTCCTGCAGACCCTCAGGAGAAGGGATGCTGAAAAGGACGCCCGCTCCAAAAAWCCCACCTGTCTTCTTCTCAACAGAAAGAATATAACTATAATTGCATGCAAAACGTATGCAGGGAAAGGAAAAGATTTGATTTTCTGAATACATAAAAAGACAGGCTCCTTTGTAGAATCTAAATATACCTATTCAATAGCTTTTTACCTTTTTTTCATGTCCAAGGTCCTGGCCCTCTCAACACTGGAGGAGATGAGTAATCGTGTTTATATGAACAAAACCAGGATTTTGCACAGATGAAACGTGCAGTAAGAGACCCGTACAATTAAAATGCTATTTTATCTCTTTTTAAGGGTTTCTGAAAGACTAAAGGGTATCGAGGTACAGTGCCTCCACGAGAGGATCAATGCCAGCGTAGCAAGGTCATGAACACGCACAAGCAGCTGCAGGCTGACAGCCCGATTATTAAAAAAATCCCCTACAAGAACACCATGTTCCACACCCTCATTGAACCCACCGGCTGCTATAAAGTAATTTTTCAAAACTCCAGCCCTTCCAGATACCTACATGGGTGCAGCTACTGGCTTGATGGCACAAGGCTAAAATTGACCTGTTAAAAGTCAAAGACAAATATGGAAAACAATGGGAAGTCAATGACAAATATGGGAAACAATGGGAACTCAATGACAAATATGGAAAACAATGGGCCACACGGTTCTTTCCCCCCCTCTCCCTGGAAAGGGTTGTAAAAGACCCAACCCAAATTCCAGACAAATGAACATCCGTGGTAAAACACAGCTCTAGACAGTCGTTAAACCTCAAAGGGATCCCTGAATTGTGCTTTCCTTAATGAATTTGATGATCGATTCTTACTACCCACTTAAGGTGTGGGATGGATCAGCTAATAAGGATTCTCAGTTAATTGCTTTCTTCAAGTGACTATTCGTACAAATGATACCATCAAAGGAGTAATGATATCCTTATTGATTAAATTAATCTCTAAAAGACAGCTCAAATGAGTTTAATTAGTGATGCATGACAGCAGCACAAAATACTCTGAAAACAACCTATACAAAACTTTGAGATCAAGGCAGCAGCCACAGAATAGCCCTTTGTGTCTTTGTTCAAACACAGGCTGCACAATTCAATAGAACATCTCAGAAAACGGCTGTGACTAACCATGAAAATCCATGAAACCCTCCATGCAGATTGAAAATAAATAAATAAAAGAAACRTAACACATATCACAAGCAGAATTCCTRTCAATCACTCAACAAAAAAACACAGTTCTCCTTAAAATAAATTTTTCAGTGAAGGGAGTAGAGGCGACAAGAGGAGCTACTGTGCCAAAACACGGAAGCCAGGTAGGTGGGGATCCAGAACRGCATCAAGACACTTCAAGCCACAAGAATGGAACACTCGGTTCATAAAATTCACTGACCCTGTTTCTCTCCCACTCAGAAATTCTCAAAACGTAAGAAAAAAAGAGAGACCAGGATATTATTTCTGGGAGAGCAGTGGCGGGATCTGGGCCTGGGGAACATCTTGTGGGTTAGGGGGTGGTCCCCATCATCCACACAGTCCCCAAAGGGTGACAGGAGCCCAAGGCAGGCAGGGGCAATACCTCCCCTCCACATTTTTATGGCAAAGCTGACAACAAAACCACTGGGGCTGTGAAAACGTCTTGAAGAGACGCATGTGCTTTTAGTCCTCAGCAAGCCCCCGTGAAAGCTCCTCATGATTGATACCAGAGAACATCTTGCCTGACCCTACTTGGCAGACCCCATTCTACACTCCACGCCCTCACCAGGGCGAAATTAAAAGGTTCACAGAATTACAAGYCAATGTTGCTGCAAACCTACTAACAGACATGGTTGCCACACACTCCATCTGGAGCAGCTTCATCAGCTTTGTCTAATTAACACCTGGGCTGTTGTCTTTCAGCATAAGAATGAGATATTTGACAACCCGCTGCAGAAAGAAGGACTAGCAAACGATTGGTCTCTGTGACTGTCAACTCAGCAAGGAAGACCCAGCACTACTGTCATTTGATTGTAAGGCATCCTTATTTAAATAAATAAATTTCAAAAAAAAACCATTCGAAATCTCCCAGTGGAAATACTAGCTTAAATTCCCTTGCTTAGCGAGCACTTCYGCGCTCGCTGCTGAAAAAGAGGGAATTAGACTTCATTCTGCCTCAGGAAGTGAAGCAGTGGACATCAGGGACAAGAGCAGGAATCGAGCACAACCTTCTGGAGCCCCTCCAGCAGGACTATTAAAAACACAGAAATAGAGCAATGCGGAGAACAACATGTTCCTCTTGTCGGGGCCAAAGTTACCCCGCAAGCAGAACAAGAATTTGCCTGGGGCAGCAAAATCTTTAATGGCTTTTTTTTATTATTATTTGAGCAAGTTGAAGATGTTTCCTAGCCCGTAAGGGATCGCAGCAACCTCAGAGTCAGCTTTGTGAATGAGAGCATCTGCCTTTTATTTTATTTATTTATTGACTCATGCAGAAGCGTTCTCATTTAACAAACAGAAATCAGAAATTTGGGGAAAAATAGCTATTATATTTTTTAATTATATMTACACAGACATATATAAATAATATATTTTATATATTATATATATGTTTATATATTATATATAAGCAGCATATATAAATATGTGCTTGTGCATTAATAAAAACAGATACTTGTACATTGACCATCCTGCATTGGGACAGCACATCCCCCTCTACTGAATTCATTCCATTTTTCCAATTAATTTCACTTGATTTTAGCATAATATAGTTACCTTGTGTTTGTGCTCGAAAAACACRTATCTGTCTTCTAGCCTCAGCGAGGCTACTATCTCCTTTTTGTTCTTTGAGTGCTTTTGCTAACATGGGAATATTACATCTAAAAGCATCACRGGATTTGCAGAAATATGGCAGAAACTGCATCGCATCGGGAGGAAAATAATACACATTTTTCATCCAAGGCTCACCAGAATGGTCAACAAGGAACCACAGAAATACTGTGCCGACTAGGCCAGTTATTAAACAGCCAAAAGGAGGAGGAGAAAATAAATAAAACCACAAAGCCTCAATATTTTATATATTAAGATTGAATCTTCACAAGATTATTAAAACAGTCTTACATTATTGATGGTGAGATATGCCTGCTATAGACCCTAGCTGTAACAGATAGCTTGTAGATCAGGGTTATTAAAACCAGATACGTCTATCCGAGACGTGAAATCCATGACCATTTCCTTATGCATCCCACGGTTAGCCTTGCATCAACTATTTATAACGGAAATCTTTCTGCAAAGGGGAGCTCCAGTATCTGCCAAGAGCAGGCGTAATTTCTGATGTTGCTGAAGCTACCTCACTCGCATGAATTTTCTCTTAGTTACCCGGCATTCAAACACAGAAGTCGGCATCAAGCAGATGGGCCTGATTTGCCACGAGGTCTTGGTTGCCCCAATGGGCTCCCACCCTGGGACCAAGTTTTAGAGCAGGATGCTCAGCAGTCTCTGAAAAAATCCATTTCACAGGCATCCTACAGGATGGATTTCCTAAATATTTTGGCTATCCAGAGCAAGAGGAATTTTTCAGCGTTGGCCAGAACATAAAGCATACGAGCGTGGGAGCAGCCAGGGAACACACGGATTGGAAAGCCAAGCCCAAGAGCCCCACTAGGAAACCAGAGAGATTCTTTTCTTTCCAAGATGATTTTTACAACTAGCCTTTCCAAAAACTGCAGCGCATAAAAGAAACAGGACACAGGCTCATTCTTTGTCCCCGAGACATCCATCTTATTTTTCTAGTTAAGAAGTCAATCTTCCATGAAATCCCCCAAAAAACCTAACAGATGGGTTGATTTTATTAATTGTGAGAAGAATAATTCTACAATGATAACCTTAAAACAAACAAACAAACAAACAAAAACTAAGAACAAACTAATTTGGGTATTCACAAGAGCAGCTTAGTCTGGAGTCAGATCTCCCTAGGCCCAGGAAGCTGGCTGCAGGATKATGTGCAATAATTACTTCACATGGAGAAGAGCAATGCAGCATCTTTAAAGCCTTTAATTTCTATTCCCTGGTTTAAATGAGATTATCGCTCCCTGTAGCCAGCAACAACGGATGTTTTAAGTTTCTTTTGATTTTCCAGCAAAGCAAATATCCTCTGGTAAATCTATGAACTAAACAATGATTTTTCATTTTTACAATGGCACAGTCAATTCAATTTTCCAGTTAAAAGTCTCAAGTCTCTCCCTATCAGCTTGTTAACGTGCAAGTGCTTTATTCTAAAACATGCCTGGGAGAATCTCCATTGACTTTACCATCCCGTGTTGCTTCTGAACATTGACTTCATTCTAATGAATCACTTTACTGGATGTAACACTTGAATTGCTAAACCACTTCTAATATCGCATACAGTAATCGAGCGATGCTGTCACGGCAAATTCTGTACCTTGGCAGGCCTGGATGGATTTACTGAGGCAGCGCTGAGAACGTGTCTATTAATGTTTCACTTATCAAAGTAGTTTTTGTCTGCTTATGAATGTATTTCATCTGCAGCTGTCTGATGCCTGTAAAATATTTTCAGGCTTCACGTCTTCTTGAGGTATTCACAGGGGTCCCATCAGCCTTCTGACGGTTCTTTGCAGCAAGTTAGACAGAGAAGCATGCAAGAAAAAGTGCATCCACCCCTAAAAATAAGTGATGCTCTCGAGCTGTCATTAAAATGTTACAAACAAATCAACCCTCAGTTCTCATTAAGCATTCTAGTAACTGTCTATGTTAGATTGTTAAAGCATGGCTTTGCGCTTCTTAAATACTCTAAGGTGCAATTTCACCTCCAGATGCATCACAAACCTTGATACCCAGCTCTATGTTCTCTCCTCCGTACACGTCCATCCCCGGATCAAGAAGTCCAATCTCTCCAAAGAACTTCCTGTGCACCACAAACGAGCAGCCGATCATCGCTGGCGTCCTGTACAAAGAGAAAAGAAGTGTGCAGTTATTGCCTTTTTCTAACTTTTAATGAACAGAGACATAATTTTATCAAAACTCAAGTTCCTTATGCTGTGCATCAATCAAAGAACGAATTTTCATTGAATTAAAATACTGAAACATTTGCTGTTCCTGGCACTGTCACGAAGATCTTGGTGTCTCTATGGCCACAGGTTTTTGTGTTTCCATTCCCCACTGGCAAAGGGAGCAATCATTTTTCCTATCACTTTTTCTATCTCTGGAGTAGGAACAGCTGCTGCGTTATGTGCCCCGTTGCACCCATATTCATGTTGCTTTGGATGAGTATGTGATAAAGTATCCCGTGGGACCTCTCGGCCTCCAGCTAACAGCCCTATCCATCTCCACCTCTGGAAGAGCAGCCAAGCACAAGGAGCCCAGCCAGGGAAAGGCAGAGAAGACAGACACCAACACCGACATCGCAAACCGAGCAGGAGGACTGAGCACACACACTGTATCAGGGGTGCGGGTATAACTGTGCGATTCCAAGGACGCAGTAGATGCCTGCATTCAGGAACCACTCCAGCAAACACATGCATGCAGCGTCCCTCCCTTGTGACCATGAAATAACCAAACCCAGCGTTTGAGGACGCTGTGCTGATTCACACAAGTTGGGTTTTTTTTTTAATATTATTTTTTAGTGGTTAAACACTTGCAGCCCTCTCTGCAAAGTCGCATTGTGGCACCGAGCACGACACTTGACAAAACCGTATCGTTACGCTCGTGATACTTTGCAATGTATTAATCTATTGCGGCTACAGYGTGTAGGAAGTTCAGCCTCTGGGTTCTTTTTCTGTAGTAAAATAGAACAATAAGAACCATTCTTGGCCTCAATCTATTTTTCACTTAGGTCTATGCTGCAAAGGGAAATGAGAAAAAAAACAAGGATCACTTATAGGGACCAGTAAGGAAAAATTCATATGCATTTCCTATCTAATCCATAAGACACCTTCTGCCCAAGCCAAGTGTTGGTGCTCTGAGCAGGCAGAAGTCCCAGCTCTCAAGTCGGGTCACCACCRCAGCCCAAGACTTTTAATGGTTTACCACACACCTGGAAAGGTCTCTTCATTGAACCCAAGTCCTCCGCCTTGAATTTGGTCTCAAGGGAGGCAAAGGGCAAGAGCATCCAGGGTATCACCTTATAGATGCAGTCTATAAGGCATCTAATAGACACAGCAACAGCCCTGCAGCTCGGCTCTGATGACAGGAGACCAAATTAATCTGTGAGAAACACTCGAGTTCCTTCCACAAAGAGTTCCAGCCACTTAACTATTATTATTTATAGACATTTTAATACTTCTAATAGACTCTCAAAGCAGCTGAATGCTGCTGCCGTATTAAATTAGTTCGAATTAGGATCCATCAGAATTTTGTCTCCAACAGATATTTTTCCCCTGACAGCCAGCTCGGCCTTCACTCCAACAAGCCTTACAATGTCTCCTGATTTGCTGCCACTCTAGTACTTAAGATTTCAATTCTATTGCTTTATTTGTAGCAAGTTAACTACCATTAGCAGAAACAATTCTTTCTGAAATGACAACCGTGTTCGGGATGCCAAATCTAATAGCTCCATTATCACACGTTATTGCGCCAAATTAAATAACAGGATAAGTTGCTTCGATTTTATGCAGGAGATGAAAAGCCCAGTTTGTTTCCTCCATGGGGAGAGCGATGCACGGGAGCACAAGCAACCTCGGGTTTCTCCAGCCAGACTTTGCACATCTGCTAAAGGCACCTGGAGAGCAGCTCAAGCCAGGTGGGAGCTAAAGCTGCATTTGGGACCAAACAGAGAAGCCAGGGTTGCTGACCCGGGAGCCCTCAGCACCCGCACCAGGCCCAGGGCTGGCACAAGTTCTSCAAGGTCCCGCTCTTAGGGTTTGCCACAGAGAGATTTTACACTAAAAACACAACTTTTTCAGAGGCACTAACGTCCTGGAGGTGCATGCAGATAGCAAGCATGCYTTGATCGTTCTGGAGTGAGGCAGTCAACAAGGCTGATTTACACAGGATTTTCTCCAATATCAATTCCTGGAACTGGATGCAAAAAGAGGCTGCTAGTTCCAGCACTGGTCATGCTAATAGTTCTTATCACACCACTCTTAAAATAAGAATATATTTATATATGGTGATAATGCAGCTCCCCAAACTGGTCCCTTCTATCCTCGACCACCATCCCCGAGAGCGCTTTTCATCATTATTTTGTAACGCATCCACTTTCTATGACACTGATTCACCGAGACTGTCCAAAATTCCCACGGAACCAGCCTGACGGGGATTTTGCAGCTTGACCTTCCCGTTCTCCTCCTCCTCATTTTGCTGCAAATTCCGTTCCGGCCAATGACAGAGCTCCGCGTGCGAAGCGGCGCCGCTGTCCCCCCAGCAATACAAACCAAGTGCTGTGTTCCCCTTGGCAGCAGCGCCTCTGTATTAAATAAATGGGGCTCACGCAGCACTCAGCAACTTAAACAAACACACCATTCGATTTTTTTCTGAAATCCTTCAGCAAAGGTGGGCGTTTACAATAACAGACAGTCCATCCGTGATGAAATTACTGCTCAGAGACAAAGAGCTGATAAAGGCTCCTGTTTCTCCACCCCTTAATTAAAAGCATTAACGTAATTTGTTTTTAAGGATCATGCAACTCGGCTCAGTCCCTCTGCCTTTGTCCTAAGGGCTACAATTGCTTTAAACAAGAAAGGATGCACCGAGATGTTTAGCAGAATTGTTGGTTTTGCACCTCAAATTCCACAGCTTGTTAGTTCCCTGTTGTCACTTGACYCCTCTATGAAGGACCAAAGATCTAGAAGTGCAGCTTTTATGAAACATCCTCAGCAGGAATCTCTAAGTAAAGATAAAGAAGAACCAGGGAAAAACATTTATCCTTGTCCATTAAGTTACTTTAACAGTCTTCCCTTCTTTAGCGCACAGTTACTCCCGAATGATTAAAAAGTCTCAAGTAGATTGCCTGTTCAATTCGAGGAAATTAATTTTCCCACACAATTGGATTTTGCTTCCAATTTTACACTAAAGCACAAGTTATAAAATATGTAGGAAAAAAAAGATATTAAAAAAAAATAATTAGCGGTCATACTGCTGAGAGCAGGAAGCCTGAGAATATATTTTAAGAATTGCTGGGGTGTCCAGTTTTCATTAAAGTGCTGTTGTTCTTAATATACTTCAATCAYGGAGTGGCTCCACTTTCAGCAGCTTTAGTAGATGCGGCATTACTATTTATCTGGGATGATTTTCTAGCTAACTACAAAGATTTTACTTGTTCTTTTTAACTAAACTTGTCCTTGCTAATTTAATGCATGAGACTCAAGCAATTGATTTTTTTGCTTTGAGATGTCGGCCCCATCCAAAAATGGGCCCCATTTTCCTCCTTGCGGTGCCTGGCTGCACCTCTGGGTCACAGCTGGAAGTGACCAACAGGACCCGACACATCAGCAGGAACCATCCAGAGACTCGCACATACCTGGGTCTCCTTAGGGGCTTTCTGGCCTAAATTCAGCAATCCAGGCAGCACGGGTAGGCATCAACTCAGATGTCACTTGGTCCAAGTTTGCAGCGCATTTAAACAGAATCCCCCCGCCCACCACCCAGGAATCACATCTGGCTTATGAGTGTTAAAATCAAACTTGTAATATGCATAGATATGTATAGTAATATGCATAGATATGTACAGTAATATGCATAGATATGTACAGTAATATGCATAGATATGTATACAGAGTTAACATGAATTATCAAATACGGTGCAGAAAGTGGCTTCAAATGGTGACCTACTGGCTCTTTCTCCAATTATATTAGGGTTATGAAGAACATCACCTTTATTTGTTCTTACAAGGTAGTCTTGAGCCACATTTCCACTTGCTTTCAGCCAAAAGCAGCCCCCAATAGTGTATTTACAAGCCTCGTGCTGTCCCAAAAGCAAGCACAGGAGGTGCACAGCCTGGACCCGTGACAAGAGCCCATACCAGTTTAATTCAAAACCCATCGTGAATTCCCGGCTTTTTCAGTAGACGGGAGAGTGCTCCATTGCCAGGGCAGCTGTGGACACCACTCCAGGAGAGGGCTCGAGCGTGAAGGCAAGATGCTCATCACAACAGTCCCCAAACCTTCATCAAAGGAGGAACTAAATTGTTTCTGCCTCCTCCTCCGCAGCAGACACTGTCTCTCAGCTCCCCTCCACTGCCTGCATAATGGTTTGGGCAGACAAAGGTTGGATTTCTTCCCTGCAAAGAAGGCAATAAAAGGCATCGAGAAGCAAAAGATATTTTAGCCCCCGGCAGCGTACCTGGTTTAATACGATCCCCTGGATGGCATCGGCAAGAGCTGTTCCTTGAATAATTCACGTTTCCTTGCCCCAGTGACCRTGTTTAATTGTCTGTCCCAAATGGGTTTATTTCCCCGCCAGTGCTAAGTACAACAGCATCACGAAACAAATTAAAAATAAAAGAGATGCCGCACAAAGGAGATGCTAGATTGAATGCCTCTCTTCTGCATTTATGGGAGATTAGCCAGACTTAAACTTTTAATGACACAGCGGCTGGGCAAACCACGCATTTCGGCCAATATCCATTATTTCTACCCACGTGCATGACCTTGCTCGCAACACGCTCGACTTTGCCGCTATTGTGCGTCTGTTCCTATTCCCACATCAAGGCCTGCCTCGCRCCGGGACCCCAGGCAAAGCATTTAACTTCTTTGTACCTCCGTTTCCTCATCTGTCAGATGAGCATAATAGCTCGCCGGTCTCAAGAACGAGCCCGTATAAATCACTTTAACACCTTGTGGACCTGRGCTGTTGACTGAACCACTGATAATGTTGCGTATGCCAGACCCCCAAACTGAGGTGCCCTATGGCGAGAAAAGCCAGGAGGTTTATAACCTCGTGCCCGCAGAATCACACGCCAAACGGTCCGCTTCCAGCCCCGCCGGAGGCCGTCAGGAGGCCCGAGC